CGGCGCTGTGGGTTGTCAGCAGCCCCCCCCTCCATGGGCTGTTGGGGACGTTTGCTCGGACACCCTCTCCTTCGAGGCACAGCCGTGCCCAGTCCCATTGCTCTGCGCTGGGTTGGCCTCCAGCACAAACGCCAGGCGGTGGGGTGAGGGTGCAGAGGGGGAACCGCTTGTACGTGCGATGCGACGGGCAGATGGATGTTCTCGTTTTAAGCTTTCGTTCTAAGACCTGTCTAGTCCATGTCCAGGTGTAGGAGGGAAAAACATAATTTGCACATTGGTTTCCCGAGTTTACAGTCTTGCGGAGTTTTGTTTTAAAATAGTTTTATTTAAGTAAAAATGGCATGTGAGTTAAAATGAAGTGCTGCATAAATCATTCTACAGGCGGCACATGGCCGTGCAACATCAGGACGGCTCCTGCGCTCAGCATGGCCGTTTTCCCCACCACAGAATCTCCGAGGGGCACTGGTTTTTATCTCCATTTCACGGACAAGGAGCCGGAGGCCCAGAGAGGTGTCACTTGCCTGAGGCCACACGGCGACTCCAGAGCCTGTGCTGTAGCCCCCCCTGTTCCGAGATGATTCCCGGCAGCTCTCCCCTCTGCCTGCCTGTGGGCCCTGGGAGTGGCCCTTCAGGGGCTTCTGTGCTGAGCAGCGAGGGTGGCACAGCCTGAACTCACAGCCTGAACTTCCTCCCCGACCTGGTGCTTCAATCAGCTTCCTTCTTCCTGCAGCTCGGCCTCCGCTCAGCCAGAGTGCAGCCACCTGTGAGCAGGCCACACGGCCATGCCGACCGGGGAGGCTGTTTTAGGCTTTGACTCAGCAGTTGGTTTCTGATCTGTGCTTCTCCCTTCTCAGCTGCTGTGTCTGGACTCAGGCCTTTGGTCCTGGGGTTGGGTGCTCACCATGAAGACTCTGGTTGTGGGGCGGGCGGAGGGCACCCTAAGTGGCTGTCACTGGCCGGTGCTGCATTTGTCCTCACCTGTAACCCCCTGTCAGGTAGGGGCCCCCTGGGGGAGACTCAGGGGCAGGGGGGCAGCCAGGTGTTCTGCCCGCTGTCCCCACTGCCGGAGCCTGACACACTGGGCTCCACGCCTGTCTCTCCCGTTGTCTTGCTTGGAGACTTTGAGCAGTTTCCTTTCCTAAGCCTCGCTGGCCGCCTGGACGTCCAGAATAACACTGTCCCCCGCCACCCCCCACTCAGTGGCCAGAGTGAGGGTTGGATGACATGACCTGGAGCACCCGGTGCTGTGTGTGGCAGGCGGTCTGTGCTCAGTTCATGGTGACAGCAAAAATCACAGCAGGTGATTAGCATTTTGTTGTCATTCGTCAGTCTCTTGACTCAGGATCAGAAGCGGAAGGAAACGTGGAAATGCAAGCTCGCCTAGGACAGAGCACGGTGGGCCTGAGCCACAGGAAATATGGGACAGGAGTCACTCAGGGTCTAAGGCACCTGATTCGGGGGGTGGAGAGATGACCAGGGCCAGGTGGTGATGCTGTGATAGGGATACGGGGGCCTCGACCCTATCTAAGCATCTGGTCATGAGCCCAGCGAACTCACCCAGGACTTGAGGAAGTGTGCTCACATGTGGCTGGGCCCCCGCCAGTGTGCTGCAGGGAGAGGGGGTGGGCGTCTGGCAGAGGGGCCAGGCGGGGCAGGAAAGAGTGAGGCAGGCGTGGTTTGAGACAACAGGGAACGGTGGGGACTGTGGAGACCTGGACTGCGTATCCCTTCCCCGGGGGGGACAGCGGCTGCTCAGCCCGCAGCAATGTGTTAGTGTTGCCACTACTTGTGGGTTTTTTAAAAGGAGCCAGAAATTTACATTTTGAGCTGACATTTCATGATTTTTAAATATTTTCAAATCAACGAAGTCAAATTTTTAAGAAGCACCATCTGGGCCAAAGGCAGCCTGTTTCCCAGCTCAGTTTGCAAGCACGGACGCCAGCTTGTGGCCCCTGAGCACGAGGGAGGCCCCGGGCTGGGGATGGAGACAGAGACGGATGCAGAGGCCCTGCAGCGTGG